GCTTGGCAGCTGTTTATTGGTTGTCAGCTTGTCTGTGGCCTTTTATTGCATTGTATATCTTGAATGGTATCATGGAATTGAGGATTACGATACTAGCTACCCTGCACTAATACCAATCACAACTGCGTGCTTTATTGCTGCAGCAGTTTGGTAAGTTTGTTGCTCCAGAATCAATCATTCAAATGATTGGGTTTGTCAGTTTTTTTAAGCCTGTCAAAATGTTATTGGTAAAATGTGTGAAATAATTTGTGATCTTGAAATGTTTATAAAACACAGTTTGCATGTTAACTCAACAATTTAAAACAGCATTGTTTTGTTTACATAAAGTGGCTGTTTAGCACATTTGAGTGCTGGCACAGCACTCAAATGCTACGTGAGACAGCATCCACTCACTCACAACCCCCCGGCTGTTGTTTTCAATAACTTCAAATCATTTCAACCAATTCCATTACTGATGTTGTTGTTGTGTGCCTTTTTAATTTGTAATTATCTTCTAATAGATTTCTTGGCAAAATTGGGTCAAAGGGGTTTGCCATTGCTTACGGTTACCCAGTGAATTTCCAGTGTCGAATACGATTTCAAATCCTGTTCTCTCGGAGTCCTAGTCCAACACATATAGTAGCTCTTTTAAACATGAATGTATTTAATGAGTTGGAACTCACTATGTATGTCTGTCTTCTTTTTTTAGTTTTAATATTTCCTTATGGCCTGTATGGTCTTTTCTGACACCTCTGATCCTCTTCGTCCAGTTTATGGGAATCGTGATGCTTGTATCACTCCTGGGCTAAGCCTCTTTGGTAAGATACCTACCGATTTGTAAATCTGTCATGAATTATGGGAGTTTTTTGTTTTCTAAATCCTTTACCCTTTTAAAAGAGATTGTGTGCTCAAACAAAGGAAAATAATTCCATTTCATTGCCGGCAGGAGTCAGCCTATCCATTGATTTGACATAATGATCCAACAAGGGGCAATTAAGGATTATCGTAATTGTCAATAAAACAGCTGAACTAAAAGAAGGCTTTTGTATCAAGAAGCATACTACTACTTTCTGTGTTACAGCTCTGTTTCTACAACTTCCTGAGACGCTTAATGAATGAATTGAATTATTAGCTGGCACGTTGAAAACTATATGTCAGACAATTTCTCTCTCTCTCTCTCTCNTATATATATATATATACTATTTCACTGTATATTTTGAAGAAGTTCCTAGGTAAACCAATATACAAAGCATGATCATATTTGATGGAACATCAGTGAAGCAAGATAAAATATACATTGATTTTTTTGCCAGCTATTTCATGTCTTGTTTCTCAATATGCAAGTTATTTCTGTTGAAAGCAGAATATGTAACCTTTAGTGGCTATACATGTTATAGTTTGCCATTTTTAATGCCAGGTGTATTTTGGTGACATTCTCTATCAGTATGTACAGAAAATCCCCCAAAGTCAGGTCATAAAAGAATCTTACCTCCCCATTTTCCTTGCATCTCTGTAGAGAATGAGAAATGTGTGTGCTTTTCACATTATCTGCCATCTTTTCCTACCTCTCCTCAGCTACACAGGCAAATGAATATTTCAGCAACATGATGCAAAATAGGGATTTTAGAAACAGTTCCTGATCATTTCAAATACTGATCTTGCAAAGGCTGTCCAAGCTGCAATTCAATTAGAACAAAAGTTGGCTATGAGTCATTTTGTTCCCTGATTCTTAAAGCTGTGTACATTGTAAGCCCTGTCAATGTCAGTTAATATTTCCAAGTTTAAATTGTTAAAGAAGTTGGTGCCTATTTTTGTCATTGCTCAGCATCTGAGCTGTTAAAGTCTTAGGATACTTTGATAGCCAATGAACATATAATAAACCTCTCTAGTACATTTGGCAGTTTATGATTAAGGTAACACATGCTTTAGGAAGAACTCATTCTAATAAGGTTAAAGATAAAACACACACAAAGTTTTCAGTAGATGAACTATACATTCTAGTGTGGTTTTTCAGTCAAATATGTTAAACGAAAGAGTATTTTACATAATCACTTGTTGCTTGTTTGTACAAATTTTAGGTAAAGGTAAAGGT